AATAGATGACCTAAATCCACTCTTATGCAAAGGATTTATAAATGACTTTTTCCATATGGATGGAAATAAGCCTTGCATAAGAGATGAATTAAATAGTTTTGTTAGGGGTTGGTATATATATTTGGCACATTTCTTAAGAAAGCACGAGGGAATCATATCTGGACCACAATTATATGATTGTTCTAATATATTTAACTGATATAAGACGTCTGCTTCGGAAATGGTAGGTGCATTAATGACAGAAATCGGACATAACTTGTGCTGTTGCGGAACATTTTTTAGACATTTTGGAGAGTAATTGGACCTAAAGAATTCAGCGAACATATTAGAAATAGTGTGATTGTCACTGGACACACTAAAGCATTTAAATTCTATGAAGTCTGCATGCGGAACACCGACTTCTTCAGATGGAATTGAAAACCGGAATCTTCTCTCCTTGAGGACAAGGGGATGAGAGATTAATAAGGTCAATAGTGGGTGGAGGCATTCTTTTTAAGGAAGATACAGTGGTATCTTCATCAGACGGACATTTACGTTTAGATGAAGTTTTTGGATTCTCTTCCTGAGTATTTAGGCATTAAAACGATTGAAACAGCGTTTCATAACGTCTAAATTTTTTAGTAAGGGTTTCAAGATCACGACCAATTTCCTTGAAACCATTGCGCGCCTGCTTAAAAACTTTAAACAATTCAATTTCAGTTGGCCTGCCTTTTAAGCAAGACCATGGCAATCGCTTACTGTCAAGAATAGAATCCAAGATCCTACCTGTCAGTCCAGCACATTTAAGATGGGCAAGCCCATCACAAAGCCAGCAAGAAACAAAGCGTTCCGACTCGCCTTTCACAGAGCAGTTCGGAAAGTTACAAGTCATAATGAACAAAAACAATATTAAACAAAAATATAAAGATGTTAAATAATAAAAGTAAAAAGAGCAAAAAAGAATAATAATATATTGGTAACAAATGAATGCAATAAAAATAATTAGTTATCAAAGATAACAACCAATGTAGCGAGCAGTTTGAGATGCACTGTAACACACGAAAAGTAAGAAACTCGCGAAGAGCTGTGGACAAAGATGGAAACGAATAAAAACAAGAGGGAAATTTAAGTAAGCAATGTAAATTAACACTAACAATTGCACTATTTAAAATGTAGGACAAAAACGAATTGAAAATGACTCGGCACAATAAATTTAAATTAGGTAACACAGAATAAAAGTAAATTCAATAGCATCAGTAGCACAATATAACACTGATACTTATCTTAAAAGATCAATTAATCCTAATATTTTCACAATTAAGTCTTGAATATAAATTAAATAAATTCGGCAGAGCACCAAAATTCACAGCTGAGCACGAGAAGAGTTGCCAATATGTTTGATGAGTAAGGGTATACGTATGGTAAGTTATGTTGGTGTCACCAGCTGTGGTGAATTAAGCTGTCTTATTAGGGTGCGCCAGTTTTCCCGCGTAGAGTGGTTGGACTCTTAACTCATTTAAATATCCTGGCCCCCCCTAGGCGAATATTTTGCCTAGTATTGCGTAGCTATGTATTGTTGCATTTATTTCGGCGTACTGCTGGTAGAGTAGCCGAAGCGCGTTCTGACAGCAGAAGTATTTCTTGATGGAGTTGTAATATACTCTTATTTATCCGTGTGTGTAGAGAACAGATTTTGGCTTTAAACATACCACATTTATTTCAATGTGCATTTTAATATTCGGGTAGATGCTTAAGAGAAGCAACTTTATTTTGCGGGTTTATTTGATTTTACTGACCACTTTTTGTATTTGCGACTTTTTTTATCGTTTTATTAAGTGGATTATTTGTTATTGCCTTTTCTGTATGATCGCCAATTGTTTGCATTTTATTTTATTCTCCATTATAAAGGATAGTAAATCCACGCCTGGCTCAGATATGGCCAGAATGGGTACTCCTTAGCCCTAGATTTAGGACTATGAAATTGGCGGGATCTTACGAGAGAATGGCCGTGAATGGAAAACGGTTGAGGTTTTATTTAGTTCTGTAAATTAATGTAAATGTTGATTTTTCGGATTTTTTATACAACTGTGTTATATTTTGTGTTTTAGTATGTATACAATAATTTGGCGTTCAGTAGCCCGAAACCGCTGCAAGATTTGTTCAGAATTGTTTTTTCATTATTGGCGAAAGCCATCCTGCGGGGCCGAAAAGTTGTATTTATTTGAGTTTTTAAGATTGTTAGACCGAAATCTTATTTTGTTTTTTCTACCAATATGTGAAGTATTGGAAAATTGTGGCTCTAGTGGTAGTACGAACCGGCCATTTGTATTGTACTTAACTTGAGTTGGTATGGTAGTAACTAGTTCGGTAAGTTTCACTGTGCAGCGTTTGAACTTTTTGTGCCTTTGGGCAACATGGTGTGGCTTGGCAATTTTTAGAATTGTGGATTTCGGGATTTGCTTGCACGCTAAACGCGTGGTTCTTTTTGTGTAAGCGCTTTTTTGGAATGAGTTAGGATATCTGCTGTGATGAAGCATTGAATGGTGTCTTTTGTGACAATGTAAGCAATTAAATTTGCTTTTGCAATTTATATTTGTATGCGCATGTGACAGACAATTTGTGCAAAGTTTTTTTGATCTGACAATATTATTTCGTTCGTTAAYTGTTAAGTTTTTAAACCTCTCGCAACATTTAAGTTTATGCCCTCTTGTGTATTTTGTTAAAAATTCTATTTGACTTGTTTTTGCTTCTAGCTTGGGGTCTATTTAAGCYTYTATTTGGGTCGTGTTTAATGTTCTTAATTTTGATTAATTTTTTTTCTACCCTTTCCGCAATTTCATATTGGGTGGTAAGAAAATCTTTCATTTGTTGCTACGTTAGGCCCTTTTTTGTGATGAGAGCGATTGCTCCAATAGAAGTAACGACTTTTCTGATAATGTGGCGGTGCAAATGTTTACCAGAATTAGGTCCCAGCTGTCTGTGGGGACATTCAGTGTCGATAGAACCGACAAACAATTAGAAACAATGGATTGTAGTGTTACAAATTCTTCACTTGTTTCTTTCTTGATTTTAGGCAAGTTTAATAGTGTCGTTACTTGCTTATCGATCAGTATTCTTTCGTTTTCATATCTAGCTTTTAGAGCTTCCCAAGCCAAATTGAATTTATCGTCATTTAATGCGAACTGTTTGACTATTTCGCCTGCTTGACCTTTAGTTTTGTATCTAACGTATCTACACGGCCGTGAACATGTCCCGGAAGGACGGTCATTCTTCATAACCTCCGTAAAAAGTTTCTGTGTCACAAGCGGGCTACTCGAGTTGGATGCCTGAACTTGCCTCTTGATATTGTTGCATTTGTGGCAGCTCTACTCTCGGGTGTGTAGTATTTGCAATTGCTTTAATTAGCTTTAATTGTTTGGAGATCATAGCTTTCGTTTCTTCATATTGGTCCAAGCAATTTTCGTAAATATCGTAAGTCGATGTAGAATCAAATCTAGTGCAGTATCTTGTTAAACTGTCACTTTCTGAAATAAATTTAGCAACCTGTTTTGAGCGTGTAGCTCCAGGTGTACTTTGATTTTTGTTATTGTTCATTATTATATAGGTTTCTCAGGGTGAACTGAATATTTTTTTTAAGTATATAAACGTTTTCTTTTTCGTAAAAGACGGATTATTTGTTTCATTAATATCGTTACTTATTTTCTTGTTATTAAATTTTTTTAAATATTTTTTATTTTATATGCTTTATTTTCAAATCGCAATATTAACTTTAAGTATTTTTCTATAAGGTATATACCCTACTAATTGGCTTGTATGTACTTGTTTTTGTGCAAATGAAAGCTCGACGAAGAGATCAATAAGCTTTGTACATACGTATGCACGAATTGTTTGTGCTAATGATTATGCTTTGTTCTTAAGCAATTGAGAGCTCGTTAGAGAGATCAGTTCGCTTTTTGTTCACAATCCTGCTTGTTTTTGTTTGCCAAAGAACAAGTGGTATTACCGGATAGATGCCAATGTGGACTTCAAAAGGATGTGCATGTGCGTATGTTTGAATGCATAGTATTCAAATTAATTTTATATATTTTTGTTTTGGTTGTGTTCACAAACTTAAGTATATTTTGTGAAACTGATTATTTTGTATTTGTTTCAATATACGTATTCTGTAAGTTTTATTTTACCGTTCCGTTTAGTTATTTACGGAAAACTAAGATTACCTTTTTTTTGAAAATGAATTAAAATTTTGAATTTCTAATAATTTTGTACCCAGTGTAGGGTATAAAATTACAGGCAGAGAGTGTATGTATACTTATGTATGTATGTTCGCACTGTGAAGAGAGTCGAAGCGAAGTGGATAATGTGCAGGATGCTCCCGTTTGCACTTTATTATATTCGGTATATGTATGTAATTTACTGCACTCGGTTAATATGCATATATGTATGCATGTATGTCTGCTTTGTTATTTTATATTTTTTGTGTTGCTTTCTAAATTATAAGTTTAGTGTTGCCTTTGCTTACTTAATTATATACAATCCTACTTACTGCTTCATTAAGTAGAAGGGGTATTACCGGAAAATATTGCAAGTACATACCTGAATGTTGGCTGATTTTTGTTTTTATTAAATAGCTGTGTTGGAATACACAAAGGTAAGCTCATCATATTATATCATCATAGCATTAAATAATTATTTTATTCAAGTTTATACATATTTGGATATATGGAATATTGTTTGTAACATAAAATTGTAATGTATTGTATTTAAATATTGTGCAAATAAAAATATATTTAATTTACAAAAATTGTTTCATCTGAAAAAAGATTAATTAAAAAGAGAATTATTAATAGCTGAAAATATAATAAAGGTTATTAAAACTTGAAAATAAAAGAGTGGAAAAATATTGTAAAAGACAAATACCTGAAAGAAGATTATAATAAAATAAAGATGAAATAAAAAATTATTTTAAGAAAAACATTAATTATTTCTTATTTTATTTATTGTTATTATAATCAGAAATATTACTAACCAATACCATAAATATAATAATAAATGTTACGACTTACATGTTTACATCGATTATGGCTTAAATTAGCAAAGTGTCTTACAGCTAAAATTTTCTTATCATGGATATTTGCAAATGCAGCTATGTATAAAATATGAATAATTAAAAAGGAAAAATTAAAAATTAAAAAGGAAACTAAAAAGGAAAAAATATAAATAAATCCACTATTCTTAATTTATTTAAGGCCTTTTTTCCCGCTTTTCCATCGTAGTTGTATAAGGACTGCATCACTTTCTCTATCGAGCCCTTGGTAGATTTTAGATTTAAGATAATTGACGCCTATAAATGTATATTTATCTATAAATATTTATATATACATATGTAATGAAAAGGATATTATTTCCATTCATTGTACATCTACTAACAGTAGATGTCACTAGGTACATTATAAAACTAGACTTAAGATATAATCGAAAGAGGTCACTACATGTATAAGCGAAAATTATAATTAAGATAGAATAGAAGAAGAAAAGGCGTATACAAAGGAGCAGACAATAGAAGCACATGCTCTTTAAATAAAATAGAGGAATAATTGACATTAAATGTCGTTTCTCTTAATTTTTAGGTAAATAAAATGTAAATAGTGTAAATCGACATCAATCAATAAAAAAAACCTCTTAATTTTTAGATGAAACAACAGTGTCGATTATTATCCAAATAATACTCCATTACAAAACGACATTTTCCTCATAACATAACCAAAAATTAAGGAGAATATAATCACAATGGAAAAGTTGAAATTTACCTTCGTTATCAAAGCCGCACAAGGAGGTAAGAGTAATTTCATGGCTGTAACCCAAAGAGAAAATACATTGAGATCCCAGAAGATCAACAACCTACCTCACTCCATACCACGTTAAAAGGAGCGAGTGAGTTCGCAAGAGTAAAGGACACGTTGACCAAACGACATGAAAACCGGAGCGTTTGGATTTTATTGACCCCAGAGCTAAACCAATGCTATATGGATGAGGCAGGAAATATGCTTTTTGGGGACACATTCCTTTAACAAATTCAAGACAAGGTTAAGCCAGACAATGGATTACTAAAAGACCTTTTAAAACAACTACTTGTTGAAAGAAGAAGAACACCACAGAGAATTTAAGTAAAAAAGCTGAGAAATTCGTTGTAGATACATTTTCGAATAGAAACCCAAATGCGGTGCAGTGGATACGAGAATTTGAAACTGAATGCAGAAGATTGGAGGTAAAAGAGAATAAGATGATTGAGACGTTTAAATTATTTCTAGACCGATCGTGTCTTGACTGGTACTCGTCCATGATGCTGAAATTGACCATAAATTCAAATTGGGCAGAATGGAAAAACAATTTTATCGAAACCTACGCAAGTAA